TTCTGTCTCTCTGTCTCTCTCTGTCTGTCTGGTGAGCGCACACGCCCTATAGTGAAAATCTCTCAAAAAAAAAAAAAGAATAGAGAATTCAGCCATAAATCCTTGCATGTGTGGTCAATTACTTTTCCTCAATAGGAACTGAATTATTTTCAGCTAATTATTTCCAATCAGTCTGCTCAACCAGCGATGCAATGGTGAGGGACCTCTAATTCACAATATATACTGAAATTAGTTCAAGAGAGAAAAAATTACGAGTTTAATTTAAGAGTTAAAACTATAAAACTACTAGAAGAAAGCATAGGAGTAAATCTTTATATGTGGCATATCCGTGCAATTAGTTATTATTCAACAATAAAGATAAAGTACTGACACATGCTACAGTATGGGTGAACCTTAACACCCGTATTCTAATCAGAACGGGCCAGGCACGGAACACCACGTACTGTATGATTCCATCTGACATGACCCCAACAGGCAAATTTACATGTAGAAAATAGATTAGAGGTTGCCCAGACTGGGAGTGAATGGACTGTTACTGTTACCATTTTTTTTAAAAGGGGATGGAACATGCTATAATTAGATTGTAGTGACGGTTGTACAACTCCCTCAATAGGCTAACAATTATTGGCATGTACCCTTTAATGGGTGAATTATACAACACCAGAAATTATAACTCAATAAACAGCAAGAGAGAAGTCACAGTCTTTTGTAGTCTAACCTTGGGAGCTGTGTGCCTTAAATCCACCATACCTTATTAGTCAGAAGCAAGTCGCTAGGTGCTTTCGATTTTGTGTTTTTTGGTTTCTTCCACTGCATAAGACTAACAAGACCCACTTTAAAGAACTTTTATGAGAACTAGGGATGTTATATGCAAAATTTCTGCAAAGAATAAGCATGCAATTAAAAAAAGCTATTAGTATTCATAATTATAAATTCAGAAGGTATCAGAGCAAAGGGAAGAAAAAATCCAAACCAGCCTCTGAGGTGTTGCCAGATTTCAAGTCTAAGTCCTTAAAGACCTCAGGTGCTAGGAAGTGGCACAAGAGTGTAATTAATTAATTCAGGAAGACAGAGCTGGGAAGTCCCCTATCAGCTCTTTTACCATCCTAAGTGATTTACCAGCTTCTTATCCAGACGCTGGTCTGAATTTAGTTTTATAGGGACCCTCCCAAGACACTTAGCCACCTCTTACTCAAATAGCTCAACACTTCACAGTTTCGGGCGGTCCTCACCGTATCTAGGGCACTAAGGTGAAGAGCCAAGGGCTCGACGAGTTACCAAGAAAATAAAAAGGTCGCAGCAAAAGCATCCTTGTGAAGGGGATTTCTCAGACAGTGACTCACTTCTAGAGCCACTCAAGGAGAAAGGCAGCCTCAAGCAGAGGTGTGAAAGGGAGTCCACGGCGTTATCTGTTTATTCCTATTAAAATACGTGATAATTAGGATAAAGCAACTGTACCTGCGAGCTAGACCGTAATTAAGATGAGACTGAATTCAGTTTGCTCTCAATTTAACTAGGTATAAAATTAGATTATTAATGTATCGAAACATGACATAGCCAATTATCCCTGCTGCTAATTCGTGAAGTCCTGCATTAGGAGCCCTGTTCGGAAGGATTAGAGGTAAGTAAGAACATTGTTTTTAAAAATTATCTCAAACGAAGCAGGATGTCATGCAGAGAGAAGTCGAAGGTCCTCATGTGGTAGATTTGCACCCCCAGAAGGGCTGCCCAGGTGCACAAGATTAAGAGCCCCCTCTAGAATGCAGACGGGGCAGGGCTAACACGGCTAGCGTGTGCCCTTCTGGCTGCTGCGACAGCGCTCCCACTGGACGCATGGGACAACGCCTGGGAAGAAAGCCAGTGGAGATGCCGTTACACCTGCTCTTCCTCTGAGAAGCCTAGAGGAAAACACGGGGAGCCTCTGGTCACGGATCAGGGAGGAGCAGGCCTTTTCGCACACCTCGAGTGCCTGATAAACAGCGGTGAGGAGGGTGGTCAGAGCCATCAGGGAGGCACTGGTCAGCAGCCCTGGAGTTCACCATGCCGGACCTGGAGCGGGCAGTCTCACCCGCACCACCGCTTCGTCTGTGAGACAACTTTTGGGGCCTGGACATGTCCTGGTTTAAGGAGGAAACCGAGGATGACCGAGAGGGAGGACACCTCCACAGCCTCGGGCCTCCTGCCTCACCTCCCTGACGGCACGCTCCCTCGCGCGTGGTCGTCTTACTCGGTAGGTGTGTGTTATGGTGATGCGTCCATCTCCGACTCGCGGTCTGTTTTGTTCTGCTCGGTTTTACTTCTCCGCACCCACGAAGGCTGTGACCAGGGCTACTTATCTCCAAGTTCTTGGAGAGCACAGACTGGGTGTAAGGACACTGGTCACCTCTGTGGCACACATTAAGAAACAACTAAAACATGCTTTCCCACCGTGAGGACACGCCGTTATTCCACCTGATACTCACCTCCATCCTTGGAGACGACAGGGACAAGGGCCTGCCTTGCTCCAAGTGACGAGGACTGCCTGTCTCTTTGCATACTATTGCCCTGAGCTAGTCCGAGAGCTAGGCGTGTGATAGACAAACAGGCCTCCCAGACTGGGGAGCTGCCCCCAGAAGGCTACCCAAGGCAACACTGCACGCCAGATCTAGGACTGGGCTCATCACGTCCACAGCCTCCCTTGCATTGCCTAATCCAGCCAAGCCTTGGTGTCACCCTTGTAAAACAAAGTCCAATGGCTGATGTGATGGCTTGTTCTCCCGCCTCAGGCAGTACCTGCCAATTTCGCCCTCACTGACAAGCCCTCTTCATCTGGAACTGGAGGTCTCACTGGGCCTCGGCCACATTCTCCATGTCGTCTGAGTTTAGGCTAAGCCATTTGCAGTAGAAAGGTGATGGGGCATTTCCCTCCACGCAGGCTCCAAAGCTCTGAATTAGGCATGTCTGCTTTTCTTGAAGACCATCAGGAGGCCCAGGCATCTTTCCACAGGGGCTGACAGAGGCAGAGGGCTAGCTCATGCTCTCTCTCTCCTTGAGCATGCAGCATTTTCATTCCTTCCACTGGTTCCCACTGTGGGCGGGAGAAAGCTCTGGGTAGTGGCCTTGTCTTGGCTGCTCATACGAAAGGGCATTTCTTTCATGTCTCCAGCTCTCCCTGCAAACCGCCTAGCTCCATCCCTCCAGACTCTTCCCCGAAGTGGGGACACACACTGCACTCCATGCTCCCATCTGCCTGCCTCCCATATCCTGCCTTGAATCTGCAGGACTTCGATCGATGTGACTTCTGTGCTGTAGCCCTACCTAAAGACCTGGGCCTCACCCTGCTGTCTCAGGGTCCCAGTGCAGGAAGACTGCAGGGAAACGTGGCGCTGACTGGGAGGTGGAGAGCCAGGAAATTGGTACAAATCGAGTATCTTCAAACTGTTCTCTGGGATAAGTAATAAGTATATATGTGTACAGGGAACTCAAGCAGCTCACCCAAAAAATAAAAATTGTCAACCCAATTAGAAGATAGGCAAACAAGCTGAACAGACAGCTTTCTAAGGAAGACATGCAAACAACATGAAAAAAGGCTCAACCTCACTTATCCTAAGGGACATGCGAATCAAAACCACAATGAGATACCACCTAACTCCAGGCAGAGTGGCTCAGGTTAAAAACATAAAGACTGGTAAGTGCTGGCAAGGTGTGGTGAGAGAAACTCTCCTACACTGTTGACAGGAATGTAAATTAGTACAGCCTCAAGGAGAACAAGGTCTACCGTGTGACCCAGCAAGTCCACTTCACGGTACCTACCCAAAGGATAGGAATACACTCGGTTGGAAAAACACTTGCACATCCGCGTCTACTGCAGCATTATTCACAACTGCTAAGACATGGAACCAACCCAAATGTCCAAGAACAGACGGACAGATTGAAAAAGTGTGTCACATACACTGCGGAATACTACTCAGATATAAAAAACAATAAGCTCTGGCACCTGATAGACAGTGGACACGTATGGAAGATTTACTGCTGAGCAAAGCAAGCTAGGCTATGAAAGAGAGGCATTGCATGTCCCCGTAACATATACTGAATGTCTGCACTCTGACAGAGACTCACAGGTTGGAAGATACAACAGCATGGAGAACAATTGTGGATACTAGACACAATATGAAAGAGGATGAGAAAGAGAGAGGGTGAGAGGAAGGAAATCAAGGGGAAAAAGAAAGAAGCAAAGCATTCAAGGGACACAAAGCTGGAAAATTATCTGTTAATGATAATGTGTACGGTACTATCTTTAACTGGACTAATACATAGTGTACTCATACTGGAGAAATTCATTTTTCATATTGTAATAACATATTATGATTGAATGTATAAAATAATAACAATGATAATAAAAAGTATTCTTGGTGCAGCTGTAAAATGTGATGCTCTGAGAGGCAAGTCCATATGGGAAACTTCCTGGTTCAAGTTCAAAGACCTACCTGAGTACCCCTGGGTGGGGTGCTCCCCAATCCAGAGCTGCTGGAAACAAGGGGGGGGGGCACAGTGCCAGGGCCCCACTGGGGGCATGGTCTCTGCCTGCCTCTCTTTATAACTCTATCTGCTCGTGGAAGAAAAGAAATACATCAACTAGAAAAATACTCTCCTTACACATTTTCTCACTTAGTGATCATAGTAACCCAAGAAGAAAAGTGCTATTATTCTTTGTTCACAAAGAACTTGAGACTCTGGGAGCCCACATCTCCGATCTCGGCCACACAGTGACCTCTGTTTGCCGTACTCTAAGGCATGGCTTCTTCCACCCCTCACAGGACTGGAGATACTCAGAGAGGGGAGACAACCCCCAACACACACCTCTTGGTGGCAGTTAATTTAACCCCTGGTTAGGTACTCGACCGCGGTGACCTCTGAGGTCTTTCTTGGGCTGAAACTCAAAAATTCAGTATTTCCTCTTTGTCTGATATGTGGTTTTGCAGATTCCGGTAAGTCTTCTTTTTCCATTTTCTTCTTTTCAGAGCATCTGAAAATCCCCAGACGAGTGAACTGCATCCCTTTAACAGCCTTTGAAAGCCCTACGACGGCCTCCCGGCAGCCACAAGCAGTCCCGTGAGCAGCTCTCCTCCACGGCTCGCTCGGTGCAGGGCTGGGGAAGAAATACATAATTTATGCAGGCAATTACACATCAATTGGTTATTAAAAGTGCCCTCGATGAGATGCGCTGTGTTGAGGATGCGAGATAAATCTGGTTCCCCAGGTAACCAGCGCGCGCCCCAGACAGAAGGCGCAGGCTCCAATCTGATCTGCTCACGTTCTCTTGACCCAGCCACTCCACCTGCAGCGTGGCCCTGCCTGGCGTGGGTGGGCAAGCAGAGCCACCAGGACCCGCAGTGAACACCAGCTCGGTTCTTTCCTTGGGGCTCTTTCCTCCTGGAAAAATCATTATTTTCCTAATTAATTAAACATTCACCCAAGAATCCATTCATTGGACAGTCGCTCCATTTCCACAGTAAGTGTGGCTATGGACTACTCGGCTAGACGCTGGAGGAGACAGGGGTGGCCCCTGCCCTGGAAGCACTATTTAGTGAGGGCAGACAGGGGGAACAAGTCAGCGCAAATATTTTGAGAAGTGCAGAAACAGAGAAGAATACGGCCACACACTGTTCAACCACAGTCTGGTCCACGATGCTCCCACAAGGTGAGAACGAGGGTGACAACTCCTATGGCCCAGTGGCCCGTGGCTGTCGTGGGTCTTAGCACAAGGTGGTACTGATGTGTCCGTGGTGAGACGTGTGACACTCTGTTGTGTGGCCAGCCATGTAACAGAGCACACATATCATCACGTGCAGTATTTCTTGATTGTGGCAATAAACTATCGCACGAGTTCTGTATTAGCGTCATTTTAGAATGTACTTACATATCAAAGAAAAAGACTTCCTGTGAACCCGTGTGCAGGCTATACGGCAGTGGCCTCATGCCTCTCATGTCTGCTATGCCTCGTTATTTATTTTTACTATTGTTATTTATTTGAGAGATTTTTGCTATAAGGCGCATGCACTCGCTAGAGAAAGAGACAGAAAGTGTGAGAAGTCACCCCCCGGGGGCATGGCCATGCCGCACTCTCTTCTCCTCCATTCTCCTCTAGGGATTTTAGGCACACACGCACATGCGCCCGGCATGAGTTTTAAGCCACCGGGTCCAGGACTCGAACAATGGTTGACTGTATAGGAGTCCAGTGCCATACCCATTCCTCTGTCTGCTGGTCCTCCACTACTATATTTTTAGGCAGGGTCTCACCGTGTTGCTGTCCTCCGGCCTCAACCTCCCATGCAGCTGGGATTACTGGTGCACAGCAGCACGCCCAGCCTTTATGCTGACCAGGAAATGAAGCCAGGCCCCCCACATGGTCCCCTGCAGAGCAGTGTCCCCGAAGCACATGCCTGCCACCGCGCTCTCCGGCCCCCACCCTCGAGCACATCATTTTCTCTGTGCACAACCTAATCGCAAGTTGCTGTGTTTATCCTGACCGTCCAGAGGCGGGAGAGCGTGATCCTGAGGGTCCTGGCCTGGCAAGGTTCGGCCGAAGTGTGCGTGTCCTACTTTCTGATGAGAGGTTAAAGCAGATAAAGACTGAAAAACAGAAAAACGTTTACAGGATAAACGTTTTTGATATGAAGAACAAAAGCACACTTGTCCAGCTGAGCGATGTGTTTGTGTTTCAAGCTAAGATTTACCAGAGTCAAAAAGTTTTAAAAATTAGGTTAACAAAGTAAAGAGTCTATAAGCTGAGCCCAGTTCACTGAGGAAACTTGCTTCTTACCACTTTGGCTTGGCCCAAGTGTCGGCGCTTACAGAGTTCTCAGCAGGGCACAGGGACGCTGGGCCCTGGCCGCCCGTATGCACCCAGTGCAGCCTCCAGGCCTGCGCTCCCCTCCCGTAGGCGCCCTGCACGAGGGCCCCTTTCTTATCTTTCAGGCTGCACCTCTGCTGCCCCCTCCTGCGTTTAGACGCACAGATTGGGTACCGTTCTGTGCTAGTGCAGTGCCGTGCGGGACAGGATGCATGCGAAGAGCAGTCGGCCGGGTGTGCGCACGGCGACACCGCCTCTGTAAGAGCACTGAGGACGCGCTTCTCACAGGGGCTCCATCCTTAAGCCGCAGATGCCTGTATAGATGCTCCCGCAGAGGGAGGTGTTTGTTCCCCTCCGTGCAGCGGGGAAAGGCATCCGGTCGGAGACCAGAGAGGAGCAGAGCCCGTGAAAAGAAGTGCGAGTCCATCAGGCAGCATGAAGGTGTCTAGAAAGAGGAGACAGGCTGTGCACGGCATGGAGCTTCCTCTGGGTGAGGACGTGCTGCTAATCTGCAGGGGCGACCGGGCATGGAGCTTCCTCTGGGTGAGGACGTGCTGCGAATCTGCAGGGGCGACCGGGCATGGAGCTTCCTCTGGGTGAGGACGTGCTGTTAATCTGCAGGGGCGACCGGGCATGGAGCTTCCTCTGGGTGAGGACGTGCTGCTAATCTGCAGGGGCGACCGGGCATGGAGCTTCCTCTGGGTGAGGACGTGCTGCTAATCTGCAGGGGCGACCGGGCATGGAGCTTCCTCTGGGTGAGGACGTGCTGCTAATCTGCAGGGGCGACCGGGCATGGAGCTTCCTCTGGGTGAGGACGTGCTGTTAATCTGCAGGGGCGACCGGAGAGGGCTCTGGTGTGCTGGCAGCGGAGAACCACTGAGGGCCAGCTGTTAACTCATCCTGACGGCTGCACTGCACCTGCAGGAGCTCAGCTGTTGCTCCGTTCTGCTCAACCATAGAAGTCCGGGGTTTCAGCAGACTCGCGCTGTACCTATGAATCTGCATTTTAATAGCGCTCTGAGTGATTTTTTGAAAGGGTAACTCAGACAACAACTGAGAAAAACTGGGTTAGTATTCAGGCTGCTGTCTTCTTGTGTTTTTTTTAATGCTTGGACTGGAACCTTGAGGCCTCCTTTAGTCATCAACTCTAAAACAATTTGCTTAATGTCATATAGTCAATTGTATCCCCAGAAGAGCCCGTGCTTCTCCAGTTGTGTCTAGAACTTGGGAAGACGCCCAGATCGCTGACAGGCCTTTGGCACCAGCTTCCAATAAGCTCCCTTCAAAACATGGCAGCAGTACATCCAGAGACCCAGGCTTCCCAGGGCTGCAGAGAGCAGGCTCCTCGGCATGGCGCGTGCCCCAGACAGGTGTCCTCCTGCCAGGTTTACAGTCACCCGAATTCCCGTGAAGGAGGCCAGATACGAGGCTACTGAACTGGGTGCACTGGGATTGAGGAGGGCGTACAAAGTTTAACCAAAGGGTGGGGAGGCTTCATTAAAGTATGAACAAATTATATTGATTATCCGCTACATGGAATACTTACGGAAATATAGGCAGCTTATATAACCCCCTGGAAGCAGATGGACCATATACACACGGATAAGCACAGTTTTTCAGCAATCAACAGCAGTTGAAATACTTTTTAATTATTTTATCTAACTTTATTCATTTATTTTTAATTTGACCAGAGAGGGATAGAGTGAGAGAGAGAGAGAGGGTGAGAAAGCAAGCTACCAGGTCCGGGACTCGAACTGCAGCTGGCCGTGTGAGAGCCCAGTGCCCCTAACCACCACACCACCTGCTGGCCCCCATCAGTTGATATTTTTGGTTGCCTCTAGTAAGATAGGTAAATGGCCAGCAAGCAACTTTGGGTGGTGATAGAGTTTAAATGCTCAGGAGTAAGAAACTGTCAAGAACTCACCAAAGAAATAATGCTCCCCCAGGAGCTCTTCCTAGGGAGACCGGTCGCCACGCGGCTAGTTTCCCCTCCGCCCCAGCCCATCAGAGGAAGCGGTGAGGAGCGACATGGCCCTTACCGAATGGCTGTTTCTGACGAGCCACAGGCCAGAGGTCCGTCATGCGATACTTCACTGTACTCTCGAGGACCCAGAGGCTGGTCCTATCACCACGCTGGAGAGACAGGAACTGAGTTTCAGAGCGCTCGACCTGGGCTGTCCGGGAAGCAGCTGGGGTGGCCTGACCTGCGTCATTCGGCCTTTCTGCCATCACCTTTGGGAGGTTTCTACGGCAGCTTCCGCGGACAGTGGCAGTGAACTCAGTCTCGGGAGGTAGGAGGGCTTCGAGAATCCCTGAAGACCTGTCTGTCTGCTCAGTGATGATGGCAAGGTGTGAACGACATAGGAATTCTGTAAGAAGGACCGACTTGAGCTGAATCTTTCAATACTCATTGTCCTGTACAGAAATACTGCACCGTGCCAGCGTCTTCGGTCGTAACAGCGAACAAATACTTAAAAATACTTCTAAACCCTCTATTCTCATGGAGTTTTCATTCTGGAGGGGGCAGGCCGACACATAAACACAGAAATACTCTAATATGTTCAGCGATCAAAGGTCTGCGGGGAAGGAACAGTGACGCCAAGCTCATCACATCCGATCGCCTTCAGCAGAGATGCCACGGTAGGTCAATTTAATTCCAAGAAAAAGGAAAGACACAGACACTTTAATTAGTCTGTCACAATCGTCCCTAAACAAACAGATCTTTTTCACATTGGAAATAGTAAAAATAGCTCATGGACCACCTGCCTCTTCACCTCGTGAACCTCGGGGTTAGGGGTACCTGTCGGTCTCCTCCCATGCCAGCAGTCCCAGGGCCAGGTGGGCAGTAGTGGCACAAGTGGCCCCTCCTGGGTAACGTCTTGGGCTTGCTGTCCGGCCTCCCTCAGGAAATCATGCATGTGCGTGCACGTCCGTGCTCCGGGCGGGCTGAGATAGGGCGTGGGCCCCGGTGCTGCTGACCAGCCAGGTCCCGAGGCTGCTTCTCGCGGGCAGTGACGGCAGAGGCCGAGGACGAGGCTGGAGCCTGGAGAGCAAGGGGCCTCTTTACATAACTGGCCAAAGGGAGACAGCCGGCACGGTGTCTCGGAAAGCACAGCGCGGCTCTCCATGTTTGCAGGGACAAGACGAGCAGGTGCACTTCGCCCTCGCTGCCATCCCTCAGTCGACTTGTCCCCCAGCGACTCCGTGACCCCTGCTTCCCTTCAGTTACCCACCCCCGAGTTCTTGCCTGACTTCTCCTCAGTCAGACCTCCCTGGTTTGAGGGCTTCCTAAATTTCAGAATGGTGCAGTCCTGCTGGCCTGCTCCAGTGGCAGGAAGACCCTCGGGGCTGCCCGTCTCTCTCTCTTTTCTTCTATCATGGGAGAAATAAATAAATAGACTTAAAAAGAGAGTTTACAAATAAAAACTGAATAAAACCATGGAGGACCACCTTCCCCCACGAGCACACACACACAACAGGGACACGTAAAAACCCGAGCGTGGACGGGGCTGTGCTGAATGCCCAGGGCAAGT